AGAGTGAGCAGGTACCAGATTCACTTTTGGCCTTGGCCTTGGCCTTGGCGCAGCAGTGACCGGGGCCTCCGTAGCAGCCGTGCGGGCTGGCCAGGGCCAGCTGTGTGAATCGCGTGCTGTGACTGCTTTACCGGAACAGGTGGACGATTGATTTGGGAATCTGACATCTAGCTTCAAGCCTGAATCTCTGACCATCTGCGAGCTACCTAATGTACTTAATTTTCATTTCTGCTTCTACCACAGTAGGTTTGTTTTATTGTTTGTAGCTCAGAACTCTGAATGGCAATCAGACAAGTGTGTAAGGCTAAAGTTATGTATAGTAAAAATTCTCCTTGGAAATTCTTGATGCCACACATAACATATAATGTCAGACCTATGGTGTGGCATGTACCCATGCTAAGGACTCGTTTTTCATGATGAAGGCCGAGCTTTGACGACCAGGTCACGCTCATCCATACTCTCTCAGACAGGCTCTCGAACCCCCACCTCTAGGGCTGAGCTCAGCCTCACTGTGCACGTGCTGCTCGGTGACAAATGACAAGATTTAAACTGTGCTTTTGTTTGTTGATACTGTGTGGGGTTCACACATCTTACAAGTGCTCATGATTGTGGCTTTGCAGTTCTATGTAATGAAGAAGAGAAAGCTCTCATGCTAGACCTGCTGTACATGCCTGGCAGGCTGCTGTCTAGATTTCTGGATCTTTTCGGAGGACCAGGAGGTGAGCTCCGGGGCTGTGCTCTGCGGCTGGCTCCAGATATATCCCGAGAAAGTCATTAAACGGCCCAGCAGTTATGCAAAGACGTTCCTCTCTTGATGATACCCTGAGAAACACTGTAAATGATAGAAAGCTTTGAGCTTCTCGTGAAATAGTCTCTCACATTTCTGCACTTGGTTTGAGATTACAATTTGGTCATTTCCCAGAGCCTTAACACATTTCCATGTATTTCTCAGTATCTGACACAGTGCATGGAATATATGACTTTAGCGGCCGCTGAACCAAAGTTGTAGGAAATAGACTCCCTGGTAGGCCCACAGAAACACGCTCTGATAGGCATCGGCTATGGAACGGAGAGCTCGTCCCTCATCCTTCACTTCATTTATCTTTTCCTTTCAGGCCATCATCTCTCAGCACAGGGACACCTTCGTGTTTGATCTGGAAACGAAGGCCGTGGCGCCCTTTGTGTGGTTGGATGTAGGGAGCATCCCGGGGAGATTCAGTGACAATGGTTTCCTCATGACGGAGAAGACGCGGACTATATATTTTTACCCCTGGGGGCCCACCAGCAAGAGTGAATTGGAGCAATCTCTTCATGTGACTTCCTTGGCTGATATTTACTAAGGGAATCCAGCTGCTTTCGAAAGCACTTCTAAGCCACCCGCGAGAGCTGCAGGCAGCCAGAGACCAGGGATGGAGCCAGAAGGTCCACCTGTGCCAGGCATCTGGTGCATTGCTCCCCCAGCGGTGTGCACAGCCCCCCTCAGGGCAGCTGTGTGCTCGGGGCCCCTCCAGCGAGCTGTGCCAGGTCGGTGCTGTTAGGTTTCCCCTCCTACCTTCACCACCGCATGAGCCAGTTATAACCCAACTGCCCCTCCCTCCCCAGAGAAGGATGTCTGCACAGGTCAGCCTCTGGGGATCCACAGGGACATGACCACAGGGCTTCCGATTTGGCTCAATCCAAGGAGCTTTTCAGTTCAGAGGAGTTAGATTTAGACTGTTGACTCTGGCGGAAAAGTGGCGTTCTTTTTAGTTTGGGTTTAAATCATTTTACATCGATTGATTAATTATAAGAGGCTACATATTACTTTATTACACATGATCATGTTCATAAAATTACGTTGATAAAGCAAATGGGGAAAATTGTTAATAAATTGTAATAATTTTGGTAAAGATTTGTAGGGATTTTTTGTATTCTTTTGCAACTTCCTGTAAGTTTGAAATATAAAAAATTAAAATGTACATAAATTGCATCAAGTGGCTTATTTCATCTCTGGCTTATTTAATCATTCCATAAACATTCCATTGTGCCCAATACTGTGCTGACCATTAATTTCCATTTAGCTCTGGCCAAGTTTTTATTCTAGTTGATAAATTGGGAGAGTTTGGAGAATCTGACCGAGATATTTGAGGGTTTTTCTCTGCGAAGAATCATGTAGTTTTTTACGAAATGGACCACCATTGAGAGTTTGGCTTTAAAATCAAGACTGATTAGGTAATAGATTTGGTTTTAATACTGAGAAGTTTGAGATATGGTTCAGTAACCAAAAAGAAAATAAATGCAGACAATCCAGGCCTTTCATTCAATATCCAAGAGTTTCCTCATATTATGTGTTATTTACATAAAATCAAGAATTAGGTAATAGATTTGGTTTTAATACTGAGAAGTTTGAGATATGGTTCAGTAACCAAAAAGAAAATAAATGCAGACAATAATCGCCTTTCATTCAATATCCAAGAGTTTCCTCATATTATGTGTTATTTACATATATATATATATATAAAATGTACATAAATTATTTATATATATATATATAAGAAAACTTACAGTGAATGTGAATACATATGAATATATATAAATATGTGTATGTATATGTGTATATATATATATATATATGTATATATACACACACACA